TGAGAACATTAGAGAACAGTTTTGCTTTTCATAGCCTGGACCGAGGGGAACGGTACACACTCATTTGTTATAACAAGCGATTTCTAGCAAGTCATATGTTTTTTGTCACTATTTCATAGAAAAATACATGTTAAATCTGATATATTTACTATGTCCAATAAATCGAGTAAATGCAGTAAAGTTATGTTGAAATGGTACGTCTCTCTAAACCGAGAATGAATATAAAAAATAAACTAGAAGTTAGGAGTAAGTTGGAAATATATGTTCCTTGCAAAATGTTGTTTAAATAATCGAATTTGGAGAAAAAACGCTGGTTTTGATGCAAGTGGATTTTTAAAGTCACGGAAAGTATTTTTCGGCCACATGATATTTGGTATGAATCATCTGCCAGGGTCCCAAACGTGTGTTCCGTACCATTTCAACATAACTTTATGAAAATATGCTAAAACAGCACTGCATTCACTCGATTTATTGGACATAGTAAATATATCAAACTTCACATGTATTTTTCTATGAGATAGTGACAAAAAACATATGACTTGCTAGAAATCGCTTGTTATGACAAATGAGTGTGTACCGTTGCCCTCGGCCCCGGCTATGGAAAGAAAACTGTACTCGAATGTCCTCAAAAACCATTAATGGGTTTTCAGAATTTTGATATACCGTGGAAAGCTGATATAATTACGGGTATTCTTCGCCTTATCTGATCAAAATCGGTTGAGTAATAAATAAGTTAAAAATAAAAAAACATATCTGAATCGGGTAAAAATCGACGTGCTCCGTACCCGAAAAGTCACATGGTATGGCCACATTGCCTTATTGACGGATGTAATCACACGAAATCTGTAAATTATTAATTTTATCTCTCTTTCTCCCAAATTACATATCATGGTTTCTGCTGTTTTTCATATGCCATTTAAACTATAAATGACTTATCATGTATTAAATCACTTAGGGAGCATGACTATTTTATGAATATTACATGTTTGTTACTCCAAATGTTCCAGGTAATGGTGCAGAACACCTATCATTTATCTATTATATGTTTCAAGCGTATCATTTTCATGGAATTTTGAATTTCATTTGAGACTTGGAATAATAAAAAAGTGTGTTTTTTTGCTTTACTTCATTACGGATTCTTAACCAAGCCCTTCAAATCTCATACTTGTTAATATTTAACGTACTGTTAAACAGACGACGTTTTAATTAAACCATTACATTAAATAATAAGTAGAACGATTTTAGAAGCATTTAAAATTTTGTTAGTTACATTACATCGTTAAATACTATATATTATTTAACAGAGTTCACTCCTAGTTAGAAAAATGAATCATCCGGAGAAACGTAAAATAATGGTGGTAGGAATGTATGTTGTGATAATAAATGTGCTATGACTGAGTTTTATAATGTAAAATCGTAGACAAAATATATTTTATAATGATTATTTCTCTGCACCTCTTAGAGTTCTTATCAACGTTAGTTCTAAGGTGTTTTCAATATAGGCGGATATACGCATTTTGGGGTTAGATATCACTGTATTCAGTCACTGTTATAGTTAATGTACATGACTTATCCCAAAAAGAATAAGAGAATGGTTTCAGCCTCTTTGTAAATCCCGGATGAAGAATGCATATATTATGACTTTTCCCTTCCCGTGTATTGTAAGTTGTTTTTGTCCTTTGGTGTGAAATCTGCCGTTTAGAGTCATAAAACAACTTAGAACAAAGTATTATTTTTCATCATACAAATTGTCCATACTAAATAACTTAAAACTTATCAATTTTTAGCACCATATTATAAAATTACGAAAATGATATATTATTTCTAGTGCTTTTTTTAATAAATATTTGAAATACTTATGGAAAATATGCACATTGTAGACCAACTCAAATGGGTTAAATATTTTTTTTGATTTAAAGGTGAAAAATAAATGAACGCCACTTTGTTAAATTACTAAAGATGGAATGCACTAAACGAATCTTAAGAGCTGTTATATGTCTTTTTCACATTTGCGACTATGTAAAAATGGTACTGCACGCCCGTGAATACTTTGACGTGACGCCATTTGCGTTATACTCGTACAAACCTTTATTTAAGCGTTACACTATTATCGCGACAATTTGAAAAAAAAAAGAAAAAAAGATTCTGTTTCCATCTTTATTTTGGATTTGTGATAAATAGAATATTATATTCGTGTAAGTTCATTACTGAATTTATTAAACTCGTTTAATTATTCATTATTGAACTTGGTGTTTCCGCGGGTCTTGCTTTTACGACATTGAAATATTCCTGAAATTTATGACACTAAAAAAATATCAGTGTCATAGGAAGCCACGTTTAACAAATAATGTAAGACTTTTCTGTCCATATAGATATAATACGATATACTCCATGCAAGAACGTGACTTTTATCATCCAATGTAACCACTCATTGTCTTAAACTCAGCCACTGTCAGGTAATGATTTTCATGGCACGTCGACTACATTGTATTTTGTATTTAGTGGTTACATGTTAATTCACATATTATTTTCTGAATTTTACAGGGCAAGGGGAAAAACCGATACAGGATAAAAACTTAAATTTACTGCAAAGTTATCTTCCCTTATGTTAAATACAGAAGCACTTTAATGGGTTTAAAGCTATATCCCAAGAAATATTTACGGTAAAAGTTGTTTATATAATCCTTTGGAAAATTTTCGAAAGAATTAAAAAAAAAATGTTTTGGTTATTAATATAAATGAATATTGTAAACAGAATAAAATGTTCAGGAACAAAATAAAATTCTGCTATTTAAATATATTTTTTTCACAGCTTAGCAATAATTTCGTGCAATCACCATTCGTTCAAAAGGAAATATACACACATATTGTCTTTTTACAGGCATTTTGAGATTCATTTTTGGTCACTTAGATGTAGCTGAGATACATTTTATACAATTTAAAATGCACACGAAAAGCAAAAATGTTGACTGCCAAAGTAACAAATAATATTTGTTTTGTTCAGTTTTAAGTTACAATGACGGGTTTCGAGTATACATTTTCGGGCATTGATGTTAAAGGAATTTTTTTCGGGCATTGATGCAAAAGGAAACATGTTCGTGTATTGCAGTTGAAGAAAACATTTTCTGGCATTGAGGCTAAAGGAACAAATTTAGATTTTGCTGTTAAAAGAAACATTTTCGGGCATTGATGTTCAAGGAAACAGGTTCGGGTATTACTGTTGAAGGGAACGTTTTCTGGCATTGAGGCTAAAGGAAAAAGTTCGGGCATTACTGTTAAAAGAAACAATTCCGGGCATTGATGTTCAAGGAAACATGTTCGGGTATTGCTGTTAAAGAAACACGTTCGGGTATTAATTAAAGGAAACATTTTTGGGTATTGCTGTTGAAGAAAACTACAATGTACTTTGAGTATTGCTGTTGAAAGAACAATTTTCGAGTATTGCTGTTGAAGGAAAATCAAGTTGCATCTTCGTGCATTATTTCAAGCATGCGCAGACATCATGTCCCAAAGGTCTCATAACAGAAATAAAATGTATAAATTTAGGTAAATACTATGCAATTGAATGTGATCTTTCACAGCCTACATTAAGGTATGCCATACGAAATGAGGTAGAGTTCATTTTATCTTCTAGTATATTTCGTTCGTTCGTGAACTTCATGTTTACATTGTTGTAATTTATTCTAATCACGGAATTTCAATGTGTTCTATATCGTAATTTTAATTCAGATGTCTTTCAATTGTATCAAACAAAACACCTATACGATGGAAAAATGAATATGTTAGGACTCGGGTACGTATTTTAAGTGCAAAGAGGTCGGCGTTTCCTGGAGTAAGTGTCAGAATTGTACCAAACTAATTGTTTAATTTTTATAATCAAACACTTTTAATTTAAAGTGAATATATCAATACTATGGTCTGTATTACAAAGATTAATCTGTAGACAGTATTTAGTATTAGACGCAACAACGAACCACGAAAAAGTTATACATTGAAAGTGTATATAAGTGTGAGACACATGATCTTATATTACAAATATTAATATTATAGCAGACAATAAAATGTTCTAGAACAATACATTATTTTTCATCTTATTACTGTTCAATCTAAATCACTAAATTTTTTTTCAAGCATCATTTTATAAGAATTTTCAAATAATACAATCGATATTTGTAATACTAATGGAAAATGTTCCCATTGCAAGTAGACCTATTCGCTTTAAAAGAAATGAAATATGCATATTCAGTACAAATAAGTAGCTTTAATTGTAACGGCTACAAAATAATAATAATAATAATAATAATAATAATAATAATAATAATAATAATAATAATAATAATAATTATAATAATAAAAATAATAATAATAATAATAATAATAATAATAATAATAATAATGATAATAATAATGATAATGATAAAAATAATGAAACAACATTAAAAAACAATAATGACATGTTTTCTAACTTTTACTTCACATATTCAGTAAGAATACGATACAATTATTTACATTTAACATCAAATTACACATAAATATCATTAACTGTAATTTCTTTCTCGGTAAAAGCCTCGTCATTAACAGACATTGTATGCAAAGTTGACTGGTCAAATGTCCACACCTGTCGTAGACAAGGTATGATGTACCGTGGATCGGTAGGCGAATCTTTATCTTTACGCTCTGTCAATAAACAAACATGGCGAACTGTGTATTTCATCGTCGGCTATAGTCGGCTATTCAAATCACAGGAGCCTAATATTCTATCAATAATAAATCAATTAAGTACATTCACGGTCATATGCCTATTGTTATTTGTATGACAACATCAATGTCACTAAATCTAAATGGCATATCTCCAGAAAGACACATTCTAGGAGACTTGTATTTCATCTCTGTAATTCAACTGGTAAATAAACGTGTGACCTTAATAAACAATAATTTACTTTATTTAAAGATTTGTCCGTACATTTTTAAAACGTCATTAATTAAGTCGCCCATTTATTATAATTAAATAATACATGAAATAATAATAGAAGTATAAGAGGTAACAATGTTGTGCATGACGGGATTCGAACCGACAGATGATAATATTTACCTGTTATGAAGCTAACTACCAGTCCAATCGTTACTGATATAAGAAAACCAATTAATCCTAGCCACATGTAAGACAGGTCATAAAGGGCTATATGAAGACCATTTTCACTATGATGATATCTGTAAAAACATAATAGAATGGAAAATATAATGGACGGTTTAAAGGCCGTCAAACATGGTAAAATTGAAAATGTTCACAAGCTCGGTTAGATGAGCATGTTTATTGGCAACAGTTCCCTATTCAAATTTGCAGAACTTGTATAAAATAATCACAGATAACCTTAAGCATTAACACAACCAAAAGACTTGTAGTAGGAAATTAACACAACCAAAATACTTGTAGTAGGAAATTAACACAACCAAAAGACTTGTAGTAGGAAATTAACACAACCAAAAGACTTGTAGTAGGAAATTAACACAACCAAAAGACTTGTAGTAGGAAATTAACACAACCAAAATACTTGTAGTAGGAAATTAACACAACCAAAAAGACTTGTAGTAGGAAATTAACACAACCAAAAGACTTGTAGTAGAAATTAACACAACCAAAAGACTTGTAGTAGGAAATTAACACAACCAAAATACTTGTAGTAGGAAATTAACACAACCAAAATACTTGTAGTAGGAAATTAACACAACCAAAAGACTTGTAGTAGGAAATTAACACAACCAAAATACTTGTAGTAGGAAATTAACACAACCAAAAGACTTGTAGTAGGAAATTAACACAACCAAAATACTTGTAGTAGGAAATTAACACAACCAAAATACTTGTAGTAGGAAATTAACACAACCAAAAGACTTGTGGTAGGAAATTAACACAACCAAAATACTTGTAGTAGGAAATTAACACAACCAAAAGACTTGTAGTAGGAAATTAACACAACCAAAAGACTTGTAGTAGGAAATTAACACAACCAAAAGACTTGTAGTAGAAAATTCGATTCATTCATATCCCGATCCAAATCACAACATATGAGTATGACAGTTATTAATATTGTAATGCCATTAAGTTTGTCTTTTCCATGGTAGAATACGTAAAGTACCATCAGCTTAGCGTAGATATTTTTTATTTGAAACTCATCCTTTCTTGTAATCGATTTAGCGGTGGTGAAATAATACTTTCCAAAATAAAAACAACTGTTTTTCTAATTTAAATGTCCGCTGTAATCCATAGAGATATAAACTGTTAAAATATTAACCTACCGAAATGTTAATTAAATGGAATGATTTGTTTGTTTGATTGGGTTTTTTCGTCACACTGACACAGTACATTGTAGGCAATATTGCGACGTTCCAGCTTAATTGGTGGCCAAAAACAACAGGTGCCCTTTCAAGCATTATTTCAGGCACAAACGGACAGAACCACCGATGTTCCGTAAGCTAGCTGGATAGCTGTCTGACATGAAAGAATCCAAAGTCCCTGTCGGGATTCGAACCATCAGCAGTGAGGGTCAAGTGGTGTGATGTCAACGACCTTAACCACTAGGCCAAGGACGCCCCAATTAAATACATGTAGAATGAAACTTATACTTACACATTAGAAGTATCCAATGTTGAGTAACTGTAGTTGGGATGATTTAAAGAAGCGAGAGTATAATATTCGGTGGTGGGAACCAAGTGCAGTTCTGAAACAACTGTGTTATTCTTATAACAACCGGAAGTAGTGACTGGCTGTGACAATGGAGCTTTATTGCCGTATAAAAAAGATCCAAGAGCAATCCACATATTGATAACTACACCAATAATTCCTCCAGCAAGCGCCCCCTATGATGAAATAATCATATTTTCATTAATAACAATGAACTAGATTTAATTGAAATTTTGTTAGCTGCTAAAGCACATTTTTTTATTAACTCTCGTACACAGACTCAAACTGAGTGTGTAATTTTCTTGTACTTTTATCATTTTCATTGGTTTCGATGTATCTCCCCTTTTTCCATGATTTGTTTGAAGAAAGCTGATATTAACTTATCTTAACAGTGTTTGAATTAAATTTAAGTTCACAATTATCATCAAAAATTTACTGTGATTTACATTTGATATAATGTGATTTACATATGATATACTGTGATTTACGCTATTCAAATTAAACCTTTTACATACATTAGTTTTTTTCCATTAAAATGTAAATAAAATTTACAACTATTAAAATTTAATAAAGGCTAAACCAGAGTGCAAATATCACGAGGGAAAAGGCAGCACACCACACTAAATGAAGCCACCGCTTCGAATGGCCAGGGAGGATTTCATGGATATAGTGACTATTGTGTGGTTGTCTTTAAAATGCATTTTCAGGATGAAATTTGTTTTTGTGACATGCAATATGATCATTGGCAAATTCGAAAACATGGTTGGAAATCACATGCTGATAATTATTGATGTCAAGTTCGCCATTGTTTGTATATTTTGAATGTATAGGGAGTTGCTAAAGCAGTGACAGAGTTTCTGTAGACCGTATATTTGCAGGTATTTTTGCCGGAGGGACGAAAAATGTTGTTTTGGGTCTCGGACCACTATAGATTTTTGGCTTTTACGGAATGAATTGGAATTTTTTTAACTGCCTGACTGTTGCACATGGGATGATTACATTACAGATTTGCAATGTTATGACATATATGTTCTGAACGAAATGTGTTTTCTTTTTCCAGGTTGTGTAGTTTGGGATCAGATTTATCAGACATATTGCTTGTAGGACATTGACGGCAGAAACTTGAAATTTAGTGTGGAGTGTTACCTAACGTTTAAGGAACAGAGCCCCTGATAACACGCAGTCCCCGATAACACGAAGCCCCCGAAAACACGCATCCCCGTTTACACGCATCCCCGATAACACGCAGCCCCCAATAACACTCAGTATAACGAATCCACCAGAAAAGAATACAGTATGGTGCCCATCATAAAAGATAAATGATATTAATTTTACTTTTACCTTTTTATTAGCTTGTGGGAAAACTGATCCAAGGAAAAATAAACCAACGACTGGGCCACCTGCTGCTCCGAACGCTGTTTGTCCCATCTATGGATGTTCACAATATAACATTACAAGTGTCACATATAAATTGATGATTTATGAAACACATCTGAATGGAATTTAAAGCAATATTAATATTTTTTTGTTATATGTAAATCAATTGTTCCGTATAATAACAA